TGGCCAGCATGTACAAGATGAGGCACACTAATTTGTGTAACTCTTAAAACTTCCCTTTGTCTGAATTACTTAACAGAGGAAGTGTTAGTCTACCATGGTTGATGTGGTTTAAATGAAGAAATAAGAGGTGAAAAAAATTGGTGACGTGAGAAAATTAGATCCCATAGACAGAGGCAGAAAATCAGTCACTCAACAGGACTGATGTGTCACTCAACAGGACACAATTTCATATGTTTAAAATTAGGCATATGCTTAAGAAAACTGGCTGAATCAAGGTCTTAAAGTTCTAAAGTATACAGAGTAAAATCTTCACCCCATTTTAGTTAATGGTCAAATTTCCACAGCCGTTAGTGGGGCACATGTATTCACCTATAGAATGTATTAGAAAAGTGTAATCTTTCCATCTACATTTTTGGAAACAGTCTGGATAATTCTACAGACTAATTAAGAAGAAAAACGCATAAGTAGTTGTTTTCTAATATAGTCTATTTTCTCTCCCTCGAAAATAATGTAAGACATTAAAATAATATTTAAAGTAACAGTTTTGGTTTTTTTAATCTGGCAAAAGCCTAAAGACCAGATCCATTTTGCTCACCTAAGGCACCTATACTCAGACTTTGGTGCATGTATAAGACATAGGTGCACTAATCCAAAGAGGTGATCCAACTGGGCCATTTAGGTACCTAGAATTCACATACAGTCAGTGAATAGTCTTAGATGCCTTCAAAGGACTAGCTTGAAGGCCTGAAAGAATCTAGAGGTATACAAAAGGAAATATTAAGTATGGGGATATATTTGGCCTCCTGTTGCCCGCCAGAGCTAAAGTACCAAACCTGAGCACCAAGTTATTTGCTTCTGTTCACTTGAGGAAGAGAATGCCTACTGCCACTTACGAAGCCAGGCACCTACCTGACTGGATGTAGTGACTTTCACTTTTACCAAATAGTTAAGTGGTTAGTCCTAAAAGACCTAGGTTGGACACCTTCTGATTGCGAGGGAATTTAAAACCATATCTCTAAATTCCTAAGAGAATGCCCTAACCAGCAAGCTATAGAATAGCTCGAGGGGACCACCCTCTACTCCTTTTATTTGTGCTGCTGGTCACTCGGAAGCTAAAAGTGCAAGAGCCAGGGAACAAGAAGGAAACCTAGCAAGGAGCATTTCTCTATAGCCTAGTGATTTGAGTCCTTTTTGGAGAGAGAAGACATATGGGTTCTTGTGTCTGCCATTAAGCATATTTCTATTTTTAAACAAGGAATATCTAACATGAATCCATAAACAGTCCTGAGAGCAGTGATCAGAACCCAGGATCCCCCCTATACAGAGGACTGCCCTTATTACAGGCTTGCTGTAATGAGTCCTCTTGCTTGTTCTCCTTTTCCTCCATGAATCTTGCACTCTTGGATTCCAGTGATTCTAACAGGAGGACTGGACAGTGCAGCAATCTGGACTGTGTTATAACCTTGTTTTTAGGACAATCTCCTGAGAAGTGGGAATCCCCTCAGGCTGAAGAGGATTACAACCCAGGCTTGTCACTTTCTGGGCAAATTCTATACTCTCTAGGCTATTATGCAGATGTGGGGCACTATTACTGGCATTTTTTAATTGTTGCCAGTATGACTTAAATATGTTGCCATGTCTAATATATTGACTCCTGTGAAGGGTTTAAGTGCATCCCAGCACCAATCTGGATTGCAACAGAGTTTAGACACTTCAGCGATTAGGTGGGTTATTTCAAAACATGCATCCCAAACGTAGAAATGAAGACACATTGCAGTCCAAATGTAGGCCCTGCCTAAACTCATGTGCCTAATGTATGTTGTGACTTATAGAACAGGGATAATCTGGCTTGCTCTTCAGAAGTTAGGTGTAAAATTCTTTCTATATCTTATTGTGTCTGGAATCAATCTGAATCTGACCCTAAATTACTATAGGATTTTAAACAAGGAAAGTAAAACTTTGAAAAGCTGGTCCTATTGAATTCTAAGACAATGTTCCTGTTTTAATAGAATCATAGAAAAATGAGGCTGAAGGGACTTCAGGAGGTCATCTGGTCCAGCTTCCTACTCAAGTCCGGGGACCTCCCTGTCTTAGGTTTCACACAAAGTAAATAATCTTTTTAAAAGATTTTTATATCAGTTGCAAGAATCCTATTTTCCAAACTGAAGATTTGAAGGTCCACATCTTCTAACACGGTGGAAGCACAAGAAGAATGGCAAGAAACCAATGTGGTTGTACAAAGAGCATCTAGGATGCCTCAAATGCAAAAGGAAAGCATATAGGCAATGGAAAAGTTGGCAGGTCAGTTGGCTGGATGAAAGGAATGCTGTGGATTTAGTGTTTCTGGACTTTAGCAAGGCTTTTGACAAGATCCACAGGACCTTCTCATAAACAAATTGGATAAATGTAGGCTGGACAAAACTACTGTAAGAGGGCTAAACAACTGACTCAATAGCCGCAAGCAAAGAGTAATTATAAATGGATCCATGTAAGAATGGCAGGAGGATTCACATGGAGTCCACATGGGTCTGTCCTGGTCCCCACAGGTGTTTAACAGGCTTATTAATGATTTGGATGCTGGCATAGAAAGCTTATTGAGCAAGTGTACAGATGACACAAAACTGGGAAAGAATCAGAACACACTGGAGGATGGGTGTACAATTCAGAAGGATCCCAAGAAAATGCAAATCAAATCTTAGATGAACCTAACAGGATAAAGTTCAATGCTGGCAAATGCAAAGAGCTACACCTTGGGAAGAATAATAAAAAATATAAATACCAAATGAATGACACCTAGCTGGATGGCAGCACTCCGGAGAAGGATCTGGGAGTCTTGATAGAGCGCAGACTCAACATGAGTCTGCAGTATAAGGGAGCTGCACAAAAGGCGAATGTGGCTTTCGGATGCATCAATAGAAGCATTAGGTGCCAGACACGGGAGGAGACAGTACCTCTCTGGTTAGTACCTCAGCACTGGTACTTCAGCACTGGTTAGACCTCATCTATAGTATCATGTGTGGTTTTGGGCTCCACATTTTAAAAAAGGACATGGAGAAGTTAGAGAGAGTTCAGAGGTAAGGAAAAAAAATTATGAAAGGTTTGAAAAGCAAGTTATATGAGGAGCTAGGCATGTTCAGCTTGTGGAAAAGGGGCTTAAGAGGAGACATGACAGCAGCCTTCAAATAGTTGAAGGACTTTCATAAAGAAGAGAGAAAACATCTTTTCTCTCTTGCTGCAGATAGTAACACGCGAACCAATGGCTTTAAGTTGCAGCAGAGTAGGTTATCAGGAAAAAACATTTTCACTGTTAGAACAGTGAGACAGGGGAATAGACTGGCTAAGGAAGCTGTGGGCACTCCATTACTGGAGGTGTTCAAGAAAAGTTTGGACAGCCACTGGTCAGGAATGATCTAGGCATAGATATGCCTATATACTACTATAGGTATGTCCCATCCTTCAAGGCTTTGCTGGTTGCTGCAATGGGCTGGAACAGAATTCCCCTCACCCCTCTCCTTGCTGCTATGCGTATCAAGCATTGAGAGTTCACAGCAGCAGGAGTGCTAGGACTTAAAACTGGAGGTTCTCGGCTAAAGAGTCTTGTCCCTTTGCTCAGGGTGGAAACAATCACCATATTTCGGTCACAAAGGAATTAAACTCTATGGTCAGATTGGTTTAGTCTACGGGGAGGGAGGGGAAGTTTGCCTTCTTCTGTAGTGGGGGGGTGTGGCCTTCTTCCTGGGATATGTATATTACCAATCTTTGCAGAAGCAGGATGTTGGCCACTGTTGTCCCCCTGCTTTACCTGTGGCAGAATATGTATCTTGTGTTGTCAGTGTTGACTGTAGTTTTGATAAGAGGTTAGACAAAGGATTTGTATAGGATGATTTGGATAGGGATGATCCTTCCTCAGGCAGGGGATTGGATTAGATGACCTCTGGGAGTCCCTTCCAGCCCTACTTCTCTATGATTCTATTATTCTAAATCTCTCTGAATTGTCAGTACCCAAATTCAAATAACTAGGGCTTGGCTTTTAAGAGTGCTTCTGCTTGACTTCATGTGCAGTTTGAATTTCTCAGTTCCTCTGAAATCCAGTATCAGACACCTAAATTTAGGTATGCAAGACTGGATGCCACTTCTGAAACCGGTGGCTAAATAGTTTATGAATATATAATTGTTTCCTAATTTCCAACAGTTGCCAAATCAGATGGTTTCAGTTAACTTATGTTGTGTTGAACACATGAATTGTGTTAGGCATTGTATCTTGGCATAATAAACTCTGAGTCAATCTACAGATACTTTTTTGAAACGCCCTAATACCAAATAAATTTTGAAGTCTAACAGTTGTCTATGTTGAAAGTAGAGCATAACTATTGTTACACTGAGAAAGAAATGAGAAATGAAGAATTTTCCATTTGTGCTGTTACTGTCTGTGGCATTTTCTTATGCTCCTCCTCAACTTCCAGGAAAAAACAAAGAAGAAGAAAATAGACAACTTGAACAGGTAACTCCATTTTACAAATCCAAATTGAACTGAGACCTTTCTTCTTATATCATATAGAATCTGACTGTTTGAATTGGTTAGGGCATTGCTAGCTCATACATTTCATGCGCATTTATGCACAGACTTCAGTAAAACTAAATCATGTAAAATCAGTACTGGTAGTTAATTTCAAGGGAATAAGAAACATAGACAGTGTTATAGGTTTGTGGTTATCCAGGCTAGTAATAAAAATAATTGCTGGGGGACTGGGAAACCACAGACAGCTGAAGCACAATGTAGGAATAATGGTGTGTTAAATTCACATTTTAAAATCCAAAACAAAATGTTGTAAAACTTATCTTGGGGGGGGGGGGGGGGGAGAGGGACCTCTAAACACATTCCAAAACAAAATGTTGTAAAACTTATCTTGGGGGGGGGGGTTGGACAGGAACATCTATACACATTTCATGAGCATGAACCTGATCCAAAGCATCTTTTATAGAAGAGGAATTCTAATGCCATGTTTGAAAAAATCCAAAAATTGCACACATGTTTGGGATTGAATGTAATAAGGAAGCAAGAGTTTCAGAATGTGGGAGTGATGCAGGAATCCACATGTGGAGATGCTGATGTTGGTACCATTTTGCCAGGCTGGCAAAAAAACAGACTGACATATAGGTAATATTTCTCTTTTTTTTTTCTTGTGCTTAAAAATTGGTCTGTTTAGAAAAAAAACAGATCCAAAGTTAGCCTTCTGGATATCCAAATTCAGTGTCTCAAAGTATCATCTATAGCATGTGACCCAAGCTAACAAGAAGAAAGATTTTTTTTCTCTAATTGCTGAACATGCAAACACTCCCTAGGCTCTAAGAGTCAAGTTAGAACTTTACTATCCTGACATTGTATCTAGCAAAGATTCCTCAGGCCAAATTGGAAACTCACTTACGTCTATATGATCCAAAAATGTCTTCAAATTATGTCTGAAGTGATGGCTTACTATTGGCAACAGGATTAACAGAGACTACTTTCAATATTATCAGGAAAAAGAAGTCTTGAGTAAGAGTCATTTTGTTAGTGCATTCCTGTTTCTCAAGATGCAAAATCATGTTCTATCACATATATAATTACATTTGTGATGAAGAAGACATGTTAGCAAGATGCCACATTCCTGTCACACACACAATCCACAGAGATTATTGGGTGCTTGAGGACTGGAGTTCAGGTCTGCTGTAGTCCATGATCCAGATAGTAGTTGATAAATTCTCTATATCAACTGCAAGTATTATTATAACATAATATCTGCTTGTTTCTTTATATCTGTAGAATACTGAACAGCACACTTGATATGAAAGAAAAAGATGTGGATAAAGCAATCAGGAAGGCATTTCAATTGTGGAGTACTGTGACACCCCTGAGTTTCAGTGGAATTTATGAAGGGACAGCTGATATAAGGATCACTTTTGTGACCAGAGGTAGCGTACCAACTGTACATCAACAACAGAATTAATGTACACTTTTACCTCTAGTTATGATACAAATGTTTTTCTACATGTTACTATCTAGCTCATGATAGCTGCCCTTGTAATTTTGATGGTCCCTATGGAAGGCTTGCTCATGCCTTTCCACCCAGTGAAAGTCTTGGTGGGAAAGTCCACTTCGATGAGGATGAAAACTGGACAGCAGGCTCAGATGGTAGGTCTAAAAAATCTCTGTATTATGTTAATGATTTCTAATATCTGCTTGACTTTATCTGGGGAAAGAATGGACTGAGATGAAGGCACCTGTTTATAAAGTGACATTAATATCAATATTAATTAATATTATAAAGCTATTAGTAGCAATCTTCAGATTTCTCTGACAGATTTGCTTGGAAAAGGATGCCTATTTGATCACAGTGAAACATGCTTACTTCTCATGGGCAGCTTGTTTTACTTATACTGGGGGTGAGTCTACACATGTTCTTTAATGCACAGTAGCCTATTTTACTGCACATTAAAGCATCACATAAAAAAACTTGTGCAATTACACTAATGCACAGCAATATCAGCTACCCAATGCGCAAGTATTTAGTATCTCACATTGGAAGTACTAAATTGAATGTGCATTAGGAAAAGCATATTAATGCATGTGTAGACATACCCTGGAATACTCATAGTGACTAATTGCAAATATACCACAAGAGCCTTATCTACACCAAAGGATAGAATGAGAAGTAAATGAACAAATGGGAATAGCACCATTGGAAGCAGCAACAGTACAGGGTCCTCATTAACAACATAAGAAAAGAATGGAGCCAGTAGCTGAGTCATTATTGTTTTGTATCATGTCTGTAATAGGGGCAGCATTCTCTTTCTCTTTGTACGCCTAAATGACAGTCTTCTAGCCATATAAGTGGAGTTTTTGGTAGTTATGCACAGGTTGCAAGTCTGTTACCCCTGCACTGTGGATATAAAACCATGTGTACTTAGACTGAGCATGCACAATAGGCTATACATTAGCCAGGAAGGTATGCAGGTATGTACATGGGCCCATTGTGGATGCATAGGGGCATGTAAGCCATGAAAATGTAGGTTGCCAGAACTCCATGACTAGCAGAAGCAGGAGAAGGGGGATATTGTCCCATATTTTAGCCCCTGTAGCTGGGTGGTTAGCCCCTTTTGGGCACATCCAGACATGCGTGGACATTTGGTTCCCCAGAGACAAGAAGCAGTGGTGGACTTTACACCGCCGCTTCTTTTTCCCAGGGAAAACCCATGCCAAGCATGCTTTGGCACATGGCAAATTGCCCCGGGTGGCATAGACGAGGCTGCGGCCAGCACTGTGCTGGCCCCAGCAGACTTACCTGGAATCCTGGGGTCCTTCCAGAGCTGCAGCCACAGTGAACCTGCCGGGAAGAGCCTGGCCGGAGGCCGCAGCACAGATCCAAGTGGCCCGGCTTTACTTTTTAGTAGCGCATGCTGCCTGAGAGTGCGCTGCTTTGGGGGGTTTTTCCAGATTTTTTTTTTACTCCTGGGGGGTCAGAAAAAAAATGCAGGAAAAAAAAACAGAGCATCACATGGAGAACTCCCGACTGTGTGGTATGTGGTGCTGCAAATGTGTTTGCAGTGCCATATACTGCACAACCACAGTAGTCTGGATGCGCCCTTGGAGGTTTGGTTCCTGGGTTATCAGTGCATAACCTACTGCCTATGCTCAGTCTACACAGGCATGCTTATGTGTCCACAGTGCCAGGATAAGTTCCAAAACAAGTCAGATGTGTAGCTAGAAAACTGCAATTTAGGCACAAAAAAAGAAATAGAATTCTTCCATAGACCCTTACTACATCTGCAATATTTCTGCATGGTTTGAAGCACAACTCCATTGAATACTGATTTCTGAGATATTTAAGTCTTTTGGAATTCCTTAAAAGTTCAGTAAACTTGTGAGACAAAAAGTCACACTCCTAGAAAAGGTCACACTCCTCCTACAGAAGATTTTCCATAAGTCCTTTGAGTCTACAGTTTTCTAGTCCTTTTCTCAAAACGGAGGATGAAAAGAAGGCTAATGTTCATCAGGAAAGGTTTAGGTTAAATCTTTCAAAATATAATTCCCAAATATCTGAGAGGCAGTAGAGGTTGTTCTGGGACTTACTGTGTGCTGGAACAAAAGAGAAGCTATTTGGACATAGTGGAAAAAATATTTTTGTTGGGAAATGTTAATTCATTGAAATCCAATTTTTAGACAGGCTACAAAAGTGGGCAGATTAGAATAGGATGGGATTCAACGTAGGCAAATGCAGGGTGCTGCACCTTGGGAGAAGGAATCCACAGCATACATACAGGCTGGGGAGTTCCCTTCTTGAAAGCACAGAGGCAGAAAGGGATCTTGGAGTCATTATTGACTCCAAGATGAACATGA